GGTCAGAACAATTATAAAAGGCAAAGAAAAAATTCTCGAAGCTGTGAAAAATGCTCAATCTTTAAATTCAAGCATCATTCGTAAACGTCACAGTATTATCGCTGAGATTGAAACAATGTTAAAATTATGGCGTAATAATCAAGTAAATGTGAAAAATTGTAAAATAATATAGGCCTAATTTGTTATACATATGTATTATCTAAGATTTTATTAAACATTTTTTTCTAAATTATTGTTTTAATTAGTCTCCGGCCCCAATTAAAAATTATTTGTATGTATTTATATGCGAAATTATACCAAGACTTACGCGGTTATCGCTCGGTCCCACCTATCGCGTAAGTTCGGGGTATTACTGTAAATCACAAAAAATTAAACACTCCAATCATCATTGAATAAAATAACGTCATTCTCTTGTTTCCAGATGACTCCAATAGGTCCACCATAATTACAAGCTAATTTTCTTTCTGACATCTTTTCACAATCAATATTAATTTTCTATATCGCTTCTTCCTTAATTTTTGTAACAAAAAGTGTAACATTCCATTTCCTCTGTTCAAATGTCAATACACAGCGTGACTTCCAAAGTATCCGTTTAGTTAACCCAACAATCCAATTTATCATATATTTGAATGTCTACCAAAATTATAATCACTTTGATACTTGACATTAATCCATGTTATCTTTGTCTTACAAACCTTTTCAACCCATCGCCAAACTTGAACCGCTACAGGACATTCAAAAAACACATAAAATATCGTCTCCTCCCATTGACTCCTCAAGCACCTTGCATCTATAGTATAACAATAAGTACTCAAAAAACTTTTAGTCATCACTACATTTTGAATAATGTCCCACGATAACTCACGCCACTCTGCAGGAAGGGAACCCACATTTTCCCAAATAACATTCCAATTATATGATGACAATAACATATTTTGACTAAAAAATTGCTTATAGATATATTTATACAATATCCCTGGACGGTTCGTCCAGGGATCGACAGATTCTGTCGATCGTCCAATAACATTTGACTGTCTTCATCCATAATTTGACTCAAATATTGTCTCCAACTACGATATTTCCTTTTATTATTAACGAGGAATGGTCTACTTCCTCCAATCTGTGTGAAGTAGGGTTTCTCATTTCTCGGTCTTTTGCTTGTTCCGGGATTCCGAGATAAAAGTGAACTGTTTCCCGGGATCCCGGGAAATCCCGGGATAGAATTAATAATTTCTAAGATATACAAAATATCATGAAATCAAATGATATAATTATTTTTCGTTTTTTAAAGTAGTTTAATATGTTCTGTAACCTCCAAAATCATATTAATAATGCTGTGTAAGATATATAATAAAAATTACCTTTGAATTGCGTAGAAATTTTCACAAATAGAAAAAAATTTATTAAATTTTGCTAGAAACTGCATGCAACAACAACAAAAATGCTTTGAATTGAGTTAAAAATTAAAAATTGAACTTAGATCAAACTTATAACTTAGAAGGTAATTTTCGTTTTTTAAATAAAATATAATACAAAATATTGTAAACTTTTATAAGATTTTAAAAAGCAAAGATGATCAATACTCCGATCACTCACTCTAATTCTTATTTTAGTAATGAAAAGTCTTGCTACCGAGAATGCCCTTTCCGATTCAGTTGATGTGATTGGAATAGTGTTTAATGCATTTAAGAGAAGACAGATATTATGTGTTTTTTCACCTGTAGCCTGGAAGATTTC